CTTTCCTTGAAATTTTTAGGATAATTACTTGGTTTTCTTTTATTTGTGTTTTTCTTTTAATAAAAAATATTTTTATATACTTATAAATGTAAATATTTTTATTTTATAATAACTGGTGTATTACACTTGGAGGTAAGAGGTATTTGCTCAGCATGAGGGTTCCATGCTGCAGTACCTGCCTTCCTATAGTAGCACAGTGAAGTATTGTACTGTGCTACCATACAAAAAATTAGAATAATCAAGGCAATTTCTTCTGCTCTGTAGGAAAGGAGTCTGGAACCCAAACTATTCATCTTTCCCTGAGTCTTGGAAGCAGAGGGGCTAAACAGAGACTACAATTTCTAGTAGCAGGCAGCAGAAAATATTTGAAGCTACTGTTGGCATGCTTCCCTCAGGCTCCCTTGCACATTACTGCCTAGATCTAGGGAAGAACAAAAGGAACTTACAAAAATGTCAGACAGATTCCACACCTTCCACTCAAAGAGGCTCTAGCTCCTGGTACCTTCTTCTTTTCCTTCCTGGGGGTATCCATAACAGCCTCACTGGGAGAGGAGATAATTCTGTTTAACAGGACAGGGGAAAAGAAACCGTACCCCCTAAATACGTAGGCAGGGGGTATACATCTTGTGTGCGGCCAGGAGGATGGCACCGAGTTTGTGGGTACTTTCATGCTGCTCTTTGTGGAGCTCTGCAGTGAGATTCTCTTGTCCCTGCAACATTATCACAGAAATGACAAATCCAGCAGATTTCTCATTTTGGCTGTTTCCATTCTCTACAGATCAATCATCAAGGAGGGCATACATCAAAAATAAAACTCCTCCTCTGCAGAGAAATTATGTCTATTTAGGAAAGGTCTTTATGTGATAAAGGCTTTTACTTCAGAGGAAGAAATCTGTTAGCATTAAAGAGGTCTGTTCACTTTGGCAGAAGCCACTTCAAATCAATAGATTCCATTTCTTTTACGTACGGAATAGTGAATAAGACTTTTAACGATGGAGATTTACGCTCGTAGACCTTACCCTAATGGCATCTTCACTTGTTTTCCTGATAAAACCTTTACTGTCAATTCAGTAACCATTCTCCTTTGTAACAAGTTTGTCAGCCTGCAAATCATTTCAGAGACAGGATCTATTTATGGGAATACATTAGCAAAATGCGATCCAGCCACCACTAACCTTTCTTGTGTTAACTTGCCCTTAGTAGGAGGGAGTCTGCAATCAAGGCTTATAACTGCTGGTTTGGGGCTACTGGTGGGTCCCTGTCATCACGTCATGTGTCCTATCCTCTCCCTGCCTGCTCCCCTCCCAAATAGAGTTTTGATTTTGAAGGGTCTAAACCACAGTGCAAGTCTTAAATCCCACAGCCCATAAGGTGTATGACAAAGCAGAAGGACCAAAGCAGGTAGGTTGTTGAGAACATGGGCACTCCTTACTATTCAGTCACTGAGCTGCTCCCTGTTGGGTCCTCTTGTCCATAAGGCATACGTACAGAAGTGATGTAAAGATTTTCCTTAATTAAGCTCTTCTGCTAATAGTGTGAAGGAAAAAACTCATTGTTGGAAATGAATGAATTTTGATAAAATGTTTGAAAAGCTTCAGCCAGAGGCAGAACTATTAGAGAATAGTTCAAATAAGTGCATTTTGGTAAAATTGCTAGTAATTGAAGCCGAGTTCCTATTATTAGAGATACTGAACATTCTTAAAATTCAGAATAGTGCTATCAGTACTGTATATAATACTGTGAGCTACTTTTTCTAGCAGTTAAGGAAAGCAGACTTTAGACAAATATTTTGATTTTGTAACTACATTCTGAGTTCTCTGGTTTTGATGTTCCCAATTCCTGCAAGCCTACAATGTGGGAATTAGAGGGTTTGTAGGAGAACCATCTGGGGAACAGCAGGATAATTTCATCACTCTTCCTTGGGGCTTTCTTTTCTCGCATAAGAATGAACCACCTCTCCCAAATCCACCAAAGCCTGAGCAAGAAAGACAAGCACAGTTAGCCTGTATTGCAGAGGACTTTTCAGCTTCTGCAAAAATTGAAAAGGAGAGTTGAGTTGTTTTGCAGCCGTTGCCCAGCTTTTTCCCCAACTCCATCTTCCCTGTGACATCCATATAACAAGTTAGTGCCTGGGTGACTCCTCGTGGGCAGTACGGAGCCCCTTCTTACAGGAACCTGTAGTACAGCAATTCCTCAGGGTGTCTCTGTACAGATACTGGATTCTCTAAGTTGCTAAGATGTGACAGCTAAATGATAGGGGAGTTTCAAAATGCTCGACGAGGAAGGACTAGCACATTTGGATACGCGTACAGGAGGTGTGTTTTCATATGGTTATGTAGGAAGGAATAGAAAGAGAGAGAGCGTTGACCCATGGCAGGCATCCCAGTCTTTCTCTCCCAGATGTGAATAGCATGCTTGGCTGTGCCTGTAGATGTCAAGACCTGGCTGCTGCACTGGCATAACACAGTTTTTGCACTAATGGGAAAAATCTTTTACATGACCAACCCTGTCTCATAAGCCTTTCTCCGTTAGTAATCTTAAAAGAGAACAGACGAAAACATCACCTTACTGTGCAGACCCAGGAGTAGGATTTATCTGAAGAAGCACACATTTCACGTTAGCGGGCTGGCAGTATCGGTTATGGTGGCAAAGAATGTGGGAGCTCTAACTGAAGCCCTCCTACGTACCTGTCCCCATCAGCTCTAATGACTTTCCACGGACATGCGTGATTGCTATGGACAACAAACATTTTTTTTAATGCTCTTTGTGACTCCTTTTATTTTAAGACCCCTGTATAGTTCATTCCCAGTGCGATGTGGCACATATTGTTGACGAACCACTCGCTTTTTCTGCCAATATTTTTCTTCTTTTGCCCTTTATATCTGCTCTGCCACAAATTCTAATTCTTTTGATGTCGTGCGGAAATGTATTACTACTTCACAAAAGTCTCTACTTATTCTCAATTTTAAACCAGAAAAAATGTAGATGGACACTTTACCTTGCACCTTTTCTGACATTCTTTCAAGAGCTACAAAGGGAATCTTTTGAGTCTCAGCATGTTTTTTTTATATTTTCCAGCTGTATTTCATACTAGCACTTTCAGCTTTCTGCAGCGTTATACTTTTCTACAAGTATTTATATGCAAAAGAGCACAAAAAGCTACTCTTAAACCATATTTCTGTTTTTCCCATACAGTAGAAATTGACTGGTTTCAAAGCAGATATATTTCAGAAGATTCCCACACAGCGTGTGTGCGTTGATGAGCAGGAAGTGTTACTGGACAAGAACCATGCTTTCTCCACACCACTGCCTTGTGCCTGTCGCAGGACCGCTTACGATGTTCTACTATCATCTTCTCTAAACCACTTCAGCGTTGTTCTCCCCATGTTGTTCTCCATAAAACAGCATGACTTGCTATGAATTATATATTTAAAGGCAGATCTGTCCATCAATTCAGTCAAGAGATATGATGATGATTAGCTTTTTTGCTTCTAAGTGGTTAACAATTGCAAAAGATTCTTTTTAATGCTTAGTACTTTGTGCACTTTATTTTTCTTTTAGTGCACTGGAAAATAAATCTAAAACATTTCTTCTGTTACCTAGCACTTTAAGCCTTTTCATAGCATTTGTAACGTCTCTTTGCCAACACTCCATCTGTGATTTTAGCTTGCAGGAAACACTTTGCAATTCTGTTATTAGCTTTAGATGCAGAGAGCTGCTGTTTAAATATTAATTGCAACTTCCTTCATAATTGCAGTCAAACCCACCAAGTAACTCGTGAAGTTCAACAGATATCTAGGAGAGGGTGGGGAGTGTGTTGTGGGTAGGACCTGCTCTTAGTCTTAGCAAAAGTCTTACTGGAGTTAACAGTGCAAAATAGGTCATGTCCTCATGCTTGCAGTTTCCTTTCCTCTTCTTACCTCAGTCCCCCTCCTTTTACACACACAACAAAAAGAAAGAAGAGTAACATTAAACTGCAAGCATCCTTCTTCCACAGTTAGTAGACTTCCTGCTAAACCTGCTGTAAGCGAGAGGACCACCACGCAGTGCTCGCAAGAAAAGATGCGAGATCCATCATTTGTTTCAGATCCTAGTTATTGGACAAAGGCACTTGTTAAGTACTTGTGTATTGCTCTGTCAAGAATCGTACCTCAGTAGAGGCATTATCTTGTGGTTGAACCCTTTTTCAGGGTTCAGAAACCCTCTGTTTTCAGTCATGAGCCTCACCCTGTTTCATTTGTTGATTCCACAAAATGTACTTGACGCTTAAAAATAAAAAATAGGAAAATATTACGTGGTTACAGACATTTCAGTAAAGTGTATTTGATAGAATAGAGAAAGTAGTTAACAGCAATCTGACCAGCCTATTTCCTGTGGATCACCAGAGCATTGCAATTGTAATACTTGTATTGGGTATAATTGAAAGAAGATCAGCCCCATTAAAATTGTACGATGTATTTTTACCTGTCGTCTTCTTCCAGATGGTTATTAATCTTTTATTGGTGAAGTGGTTTGCCTACGGTGTAATGCGAGATTTTTCCTCATGTCATTTAAGTGAGTCACTTCTCTTTGTGTTTGCAGGTGGACTGAATTTTAATATGTTGAATTCTGTTAATTGCTTATAATTTAGATGTTTTTCTTAGTGTTTTGAAAATGTATAATAAATTTTTGAAAAATTGAGTAGTACCCACATATTCCTTTTATTTTTCAGCATTCTGTGAAGAGGGGTGCAGATATGGTGGAACTTGTGTAGCCCCTAACAAATGTGTCTGCCCTTCTGGATTCACAGGAAGTCATTGTGAGAAAGGTAAAGCTTTACTGAACCACAACGTCTTCTTTGTTAATGATAAATATGATATGCTGAATTAAGAATTATTTTTCATTCACTCATTCTGCTTGATATTGTCTCTTCTTTGAAGATGTGACTGTTTCATAACAGCCTTTTCCTAACTGAAAACTAGTCTTAAATTAAGCATGGAAAGTTTTAGACAGTTGGGGATGTATCTGCTTTTGCTTCCAGTGGACACATTTAGCTAATTAGATGGGATGGCAAATGAAAAATATTTACTCTGCCTATCTTCCGTGGTGCAAACTCAAGATCACCTTCTGTTTTTTCTGAATCTGTTGTACAAATTAGACCAAAATTTGGATGCTTGCTTTTCACTTAAACTTACTGGATTCTTAAGATTTGATTTGTTTCTCAGTCTGAGGCCAGCAGTTTTCATAGGATCACAGCCTATTAAAATATATCTCGCTAGTGATGATTTGATTCTGCCTTTTCCCATATTTTTTTCCATTTCAAGTTTTGCTTGAACTTTGCTTGAACAGGTCCGCCTTTCTGTTTATTTCACAAAGATCTGGTTCCTTGTCTACCTTAAATGAGAAGGAAGAGATCTTACAGAATTCTACAGAGGGCTCTTATTAGATTCTTTAAGCAGCAGAGTTTTGGGATAAAATTTGGGATTTTATTTTGGTCTGTATTTAGTGAGGTTGTGTTTCACTTAAATAACTCAATGATAGAGGGTTTTTTTGCATTGTGTGTTTGTTAATAAACTTTTTGCACTTGTCTTTACTGGTGGAAATAAAATGGATCGTTAACACAGGTTGCATGATGCTAGTATGGATGCGATTATAACTGATGAGTGTTTTTTAAGGAAGAAAAAAAAGAAAACCAAGAAATAACTGCTAAGTTAAATCACTGGAACAGCTTGTTACCTAGAGATTGTTCAATAATTTGTATGTAGCAGTGTCTGCTTAATACATGGCTGTTCTACTATAATACAAAGTAATTTAAACCCAGTTGTCAACAAATCTGCTTTGAGTAGCTTCTGAAAACTGCTAAAGATTTTTATGGATGTACTCAAATGGCTGTGAACTAGAATCCCATAGTTTCTAGTTGTCAGCATTATTTCTAGTTATTTGGGAATGAACTAGGACGTTAATATTTTCATATCATCTTGAATTAATTTGAGTACTGCAGGTTGGGTTTTTTTTGCCTGTAGTCTTTGGATTATTTGTTTTAAATAGGAACAAGCTCCCAAGCCTCCTGATAATCAGTAGTAAGTACTGGCGATACACATGGAGTAATACAAGAAGGGCCTGCCCTAGAGCCCCACCTGCCATAGCTCCCCAGCCTCTAATCCTGCTAGCTATCCTCTTCCAAGTGTAGTTTTCTCATTCCTTTCGAAAACACCTGTTATTCAGAGGGAACGGTGCATTCAGAGGGATGCAGGATACCAGAAACGGGTTCTATGCACGTGACAGTCTGGCACTGCAAAACCAGTACCTGCGGCGCCCAGCGGCGCCCTGCCTACGCACGGAGGCGGTGGCCTTAGGCCAGCTTTCAGCTCGACTGCCTATGTTTCTTTTACCCGTGAATCTTGGAATTCTCTTTTTTCTGATAGCTGTAAAGGGACTTTCATAACTAGAACACAGAGTCTTTAAACTGTTGAAGTGATGGTTTAAAATTGATAAATGGGTGATATAACTGTTGCTGATTCCTGTGTTTTTCATGTCTTTTGTATCGTTTTGATCTAAAATACGAGTTAGCACACCAAGAAAAGGAAACATGGCAGGCATGGTACTCCCATTATATCAAGAAATTTAGAGGTAGATGTCAGAAGGAGCTAGCTTCTGTGTATAAAATCTATACGACTTGAACAAGAAGGAAGTTTATTTTTTTTCTTTGGAGATGTATAGAATTTACCAGTATGCTACAAGTCAAGCTAATGAAGGTAACTTTGAGAAATCTGATGCGCAAACCGATTTGAGAATGAACAGGGCATTGCACATGAGAAGTTGTCACGTTTTAGTTGTGTTAGAGGGTTTGAAAACTTCAGCAGATATACCTTACGTCATGTGCATGTTTCAGTGGCTAAGTGCATACCAGATCTATGTGAGAACAGCTTCAGCCATCTGCAGGTGCGTGTCCCAGAAAAACTAAATGTTCAGAGTAGAAAGGTGATGAACCACCTTTGAAGCAGGAGAAGCAAAGGGAAGCCTTTGCTTACCTGCTTACTCCTTGGAGATGGAGTTGAAGAGCTGTTGGGAAGAAGAGGCGGTTCAATAGAGACTTCCCTCATAGTCCCACTGCATTTTGCTGCAGCACTTTTAGAGGACATCTGAAGTATTTAAAATCCATGTTGGTGGTTGTGGTGGTGTTTTTTCTTTTTTCTGATGTCTGTAACGTTAGAAATAAACAATTTGTTATATTTAACACGGTAGCACTACCTCAACGTTACAACATAGACCAAAGATGGTGGAACGGTGGGACATGACTTGAAACCAAAGCTGAAATGTTCCTTGTAAAATCTTGTCTAGCGGAAGCTCATGGTGAACTGATGCATATCAGAAGTAAAATGATGTGTTTTGGTAATGCATTCTATTTGCCACAGGGCATTTAAAAATGTCCTCCAAATCAACAACACAGCAATTTCTTATACGTTACTTGTGAGCTGAAGGGACTCGTCACCGGCTATAAACAGTACGACCCAAGTTGGCTTCAACATCATGTAAAGGGTAAAATGAACCAGTAATTAGAAATACTGTTGAAAAGTGGGTGTGTTTAGTTCTGAGCATGAATCATATGTTACTCATTGTTTCTGACTGCCTGGTTGAAATGATGGTATTAGGTTAATTAAAAATTCTGAGATATTTGAGAAGGGTAGGATTTGTGTTGGTAATTTACTCAGGTGAAATTAAAACACACATTTAAGGCTTATATACAAATACATAATTCAACATGCTGCTAAGAAGAATTATGTCTTCCCAGTTGCTTTCCCTGAAATAACAGTCGTGGGGCTGCCTTTTCTTTTTGAAGGTGAACTGCAAATTGATATCCAGAGATACTGTAAAATAATTCCTCCTTCCATCCATTCTTTATAATGCTGTTTCTTTAAGTATGTGCTTGATGTTTCTTACAGAATTTTTGTTGTTTTCTATGTAGGAACTTATTCTATATTCTAACCAATTTTTTGTTTGTGTTGTGTTTAATTGGCCAGGGCTGAAATCAATGATCTCTGTGATCATTACCATTTGTGATCATATTTAACATAGCTGTGATACCTGTGCTAGAAAGTTTTTATGTTAGTATTGTTGCTCATATTGCTGTATGGTTCCAGCATGTATGTGCCTGACAGCTGAGCTGGAGATATGCATCCTTAACTGTATGTAACGCTGTTGGCTTAAGCCCAGGTACGTTCTTGGCACGTATCCCTGTTAAAGGCTTCTGAGAGACGTTTTGATGTGCAGAGAGGAACGCAAACACAGTAGTCTGTGAGAATTGTTGGCAGCGTAGACTCAAATGCTCTAATTTTCCATCCAGTGATGTTTTCTCCTTCTCATATTTTTCCAACCTTAAAAAAAAAAACAAAACTAAATCCTATCATTCCTTGAGCTGCTTTTCTCTCTCTGTGGACGAGCCACAGGTCAGTGGAGTTTTAATGCTGGTTTTGTAGATGGGGTTCACCATTATTCTGTGTTTGTGGAACGCTAGTCACTACTGCCACTGATGAAGTGGTGAGGATGAGGTAGGCAGACAATCTTAGCGGTATCAAAGGTAGGAGTAAACATGATTGAGCGCCTACAAATTGCAGGCGTTTCTTGAACCCCTGCCTGCATGTGGTAGGGTCCTGTGCGTGGGCCTAGAAACGCGTATCAACGTCTGTCCAGCCGGGCGGTGACCGGCAGCGGCAGAAATTTCAGCCGTGGGAGTTAGTTACAGTGTCTACCTGTACAAATTACACCTGTGGGCAATGAGCAGGAAACTGCAGAAGGGTTTGAAGCAGTGGGTTTCCAACCAGGGGCAAGTCAAGGCAAGTGCAGTATTTTTCCAAAAGCTGCAGGAGGGCTTTTGGCAGTGGTGGGGCATTACCTCCAAAAGGGATTCAAAACAGTTGCACCACATCTTACCTACTGTCTGAGTTGGTACACAGTGAACAGAGAATATGTTTCTGGTAGATTAGAGGACGTTGTGTAGGCTGGAGCTTAGAGAGGTAAGTGTTTTTATGGCAGCCACATGTGTATTTATAGTCTTTGTAAAGCACCAGATAACAGTTTTCTCATAGAATGAGAGAGTGCTGTCAAAGAATTACCTGCTGACTGTAAACAGTCAGAAGCAAGGGTAAGACATGGCTGCGAAGCATCAGGATGTGATAATTACTGGCATTATTTTTTTGTTTTGTTTTGGACTGTGGGTACAAAAGATTGGTTGATATTGGGGTGAGAGGTCATTTTTCAGCACGTACCATAGTTGAGAAATGTGCTTTGAATCCCAGTAATAATATTGTGTTGTTTTTTCTTTGTGGTCTTTTTTTTTTCCCACTCACTTGCAGTACTGCGTTAGTTGCATATGGATTCTTCAGTGCAGTCATAAATTTCACAGGTGTGTAGTGAAATGTTGCTATGCTTATATCTTGAAGTTAGATATGTCATGTGGATGTCACAAAAATGAGGAGGTTTTTAGCTGATTTGTTTCATAATAGTTGGCAGTATCTGGAGTTGCTGTCTGAGAAGCTGCATACTACTTTGTGTACTCATCTCTTAAATTGCTTCTTCTGGAATGTATTGTCTTCTGCAGTCCTTTGGGTAAAACTCTCTACCGTCTGTACTCCTTTGGGCCCTAGAGATAGAAAAAAGATGTGAAAATTGCATTTCTATGAACTATTTCTTTGATTCCTGAGCTGGATCAATCTTTAGGTGTGTAACTATCAAAGACATTTCAGTTGAGGAACCTGATTTAAAAAAATAAGCAAACAAAAACCAAAGCAAAGCGGAGAAGGATTTTTCAGTGAGTACAGTAAGCTAAAT